CTGTGATGTTTTTTAAGTAAAAATAGATCCATGTGTGCATGGGCAAAACCAATGTGGTGCGCGATGCCGAGTTTGTGCAATTCTGTGGTGTTCTTTTAAGTGAAAATAGATCGATGTGCACATGGACAAATACAAATCTCTGATTTTTCTTTTAAGTGAAAATTGATGGATAAGCACATGGACACCGAGTTTGTGGAATTCTTTGATGTTTTTCGAGCGAATACTGATCGTTGTGAAACGAGGGAAAACGAGGTTGTGTGTGATGCCGAGCAGTAATGTAACTTTATTTATGGTGCAATGTTTAACATATCGTTTGTGTATTTTAAATTTATACTATTGTGTTAACTGCAAATCAAATTTGAGACAACTTTAAATAACACCATTTGTTATTTAAATTGTATTTTTAAGTGTTTCGTTTTCGATATATGTTGATAATGCTTTCCGACTTACGATAAATATCGATAGTCCGACGATCTACTCAACAGTAGCAAAACTGCAAACTTTGACCCTTTAAGTAACGTTTACCTCATATTTTAATACGCAGTGTTTGGTATCGTAATTGGACTTGATAATATGAATTCATTGATAATGTTTGTGTGCGTATGTGAAGAATTGCTTAGTGTTCCAAGTTTGTAGTATTTTTTTTTCTTTATATTATTTTCTTTCATTCTGAGAAATTAAATTTTCTTTTTATTTATTAATGCGTAGAATTCTAGTATTCCTACACAGAATATGGCGTGATTTAGGAATTTTAGAAACTGATATGAAAGCTGTGTGATGATGTTCATATGCAATAAAAAATATTCTTCTTTTTTATTTATATAAAGTTTAACATTTTTAGAAAATAATGAAAATTGTCTAATTATTGGTATGTAAGGAATTATATCGTTACGTAGCAAGAAGGTAATTTGTAAAAATGATAAAATTGAAGTGTTCCACAATATGAATTTAAATTTAAAAAACTTTTTTTTTTTTTTATTTTTATAAATGCTTTAATAAAAATCTTTGAAAATATTGAAGCTGTACAAGTATTAGAGACTACGACGTTGTTTATCGTTTTAATAATTGGTAGAATTCGCTCACTATATCATGGTATTTTTAAATATAAACAATTTATTATACTTATTATCAGTAACGCATAAGCTTAAATGTTATAAATGTAAGGTAAAGAAATTAATATTAATTTACAATAATAAACAATTTATTATTGTATTTTTAAGAGAAAATAGAAAGTACGCGTAGTGTAAATGTGAGAATACCATGGACCTTATAAGAAATAGACTAATCCAATTGCGTTTTCTTCCTTGTCTGGCGCGTTCCCGGCTGTCACCTTGATCACATCCGGAGGAGTAGGGACGACTTCCAGAAATTAGCAATGGTTGGCTATTGCAGCGCGTACAATTGTCACGAAAAAGCTGGTGGTAGTGCCTCATTTCACAAGTAAGAATTTTTAAATATTTTTATTTTTGACACTGAGATTGCTTTTTAAATACTTAGCATGTTTTTCAAGCATAATTAACGTTCTAAATAATTATAAAGCTGTTGCATGCTTTCAGGCTTGTATATATTTTTAGCTTTTCCTGTGATGTAAGCGAATTTGTAACTTCTTCTTTTAGAAAATAATATTTTAAATCTGAACTAACAGAAAAATTCAACCAAGTAATTTTGTCTTACAATTACTAAAACTATAACTAATACTAAACTATAACTAAATACTAAAATGCCTAAAAATGAATTTTTGAAAGTTTTTCTTTAAAATTTATAATTTTTTGCTGCTTTTTAAAATTATAGGTAAATTTTAATTCCTAGCATTATAACTAATCAAAAATAAGAATATTTAAGAACGAAAAGTATACATCTTATATAGCTGGTTTTGTTGTTAAAAGCTTAGCTTATAAAGTAAAATGTAATATCTGTTTCTCAGCTTTAGTTTCAACAGAACCATATGATGGTTTGCCAGGTTTCAGATATTATAAATCTGGATGTAAAGGTTTTACTTCTCCTTCCAGTGACGTCCGAATGATCTGCAAAAATGCAGAAATAATTTTTAAGCAGACTGAAAAGGAGTTTAAATTGAATAAAAAATATTATAAATTTCATGACTCTAAAAGTCTTAAAAAGCATAGGAACACATATATTTCCTTCTCTTCAAGGCCATATTTATGATGATGAGCCAGATAAAAACCACCTGATTAAATTAATTAAAGCAGTGATATTTCAATATTTAAAAATCAGAATGCATCATGCAGTTGCATGTTACAATGAATCTAAACAGAGAGAAAATATTCGAAGCAGATTTACTAAATTAATTTTATTTAAGCATCAATAAACCATATTATCTGATTCTCTTCCTCTCTCTCTCTAAATATATATATATAGGTGTGTGTATTTACATTATTAGATAAATAGATATAATCTTGTTTTCACAAATATTTGAAATAAAAATTGAAGTAAGCGAATTTTTCAATGCAACAAATATCCTAAATTGTTTACTTTCATACATATGTATTTATGGATGTATAGTCATTTTGCTTAAAATATTTACAGGTATATAAGATTACAAGGTTACTTTAGGGGCATTAATAAAAATTTAAGATTGGACATATAATATCTTGTATTTTATAGTAATTATTTTTTTTTTTAATTTATTTCTAGTTCCACATAAGATTTTTTTTTATTTACTGCGAATTTTTTTTTTTTAATTTTTTAAAAAAATTTTCATTACACTCAGAAAAGTTTATGCTCCGAATTTTATGAAGTTATTAATATTGTCATAAATGATCATCTTTTAATACTATGATAATAATTTTGAAAACAGAAAAAATAAAGAAAACAATCCTTGGTTTCTATAAACATTTGAAATGATAAATATTTGCTACTACTGCCTGAAAATGTTCATAAAATTTAAAAAAAAAAATTACCAAATCTTGTTTAATTTTACCTTATTTGTTTCATAGCATCATGTACTATCAATCTTACTTAATTTTACTTTATTTGTAGGCAAAAGTAAATTCATAAATTTTTTGTTTAGAGTTTTTACCGTTTTATCAAAGTAATGATGTTTAGACAAGAATTACGCTTATGCTCAAAATGCAGTAAAAAAAAATACTCAAAATGCACTAAAAAGTGGTTTCATGAGAATATATAAAATCTTATTAGCAAAAACTGTGATTTTTATTATCTCATCATTTATACAACGTATCACATTTAATAATTAAAAAGAGTTATGTGATACAAACGCCATATGTTTCAATGTTACGATAAACTAAATCGTCCCTACTCTCTCTTCCCGACATGTGTGTGACGCACGCCCCGCCCACTGGGTTAGTCTATTTCTTATAAGGTCCATGGAGAATACATTGTGACGTCACAAGCTTATTCCCATCCATTTATGGACGTCACACAGCTCCACCTTCTGAACTTTGTTGATGCAGCCTATTCCGCGCTTTTACCCCTTCCTGCAGTATCACTTCACCCCTTGTGATGCAGCCTGCGCAACATTATCGCTGTTCAGATTGTTAAATATCTAATGGATTTTCGAGGATGGAAGCTATTCCCGAGGAATACCTTCGAGTAAATTTCTGACCATTGGTGAGGAGAGCTTGCAGCCCCCCAACCAAAGACCAGAAATTTGTAAAGCATTTTTAAACTAAATATGTTTAGTTATTGTCAGAAAACAGGCGACAAATTGGATATATTAAAAAAATAAGAAATTGGTATTCATTTTGTGATTTTAATATTTATCAGTTCAAAATTTATATTCGCATACAAATTAGAAACTTCCTAATACAGAGGCTGTTCACACACTTTTTAGACGATGTATATTGTATTCACAAATGTAAATTACATAAAATTCTTGTGTTTTAAATGTTCTATTTGAAATCCCTTATTCTGAACTATCTTTCGACACCGCAATTTCCAGGATAATTATGCCTTTTGAAGTGGCAGAAGAGATATTCTATCCCATTCCTCCCGAACAGCTTTCCAGAGTCCTGTTAGGGTTTTGGGACATCGTTTGGATAATGCAGTTTTTAAAGTCCGAAAGCAACAAAAAAATCCATAGGTGACACATCGGGAGATTTAGTAGGGATAGCAGTGAAGGGTATGGCCTTGATACCAGTTTTTTGTTCCATTTCTTTTAAGAAATTTACAGTGGATTTTGATGTGTGACTGCTAGTTTTGTCCTGATGGAGTCTCACAGATTGATGGCACTGTGGGTAAAGCGATGGTATTTCATTCAGAAAAACTGGCGATAAAATATATTCCTGATAGTATTTAGAGTTAATCTTGACATGTTTTTGCACTCTCTTTATTTTTAACTTGCCATTACAAGAAAAACCAGCAACAATCATGAATTCCTTAGAAAAACTTTCTTTCGATTTTTTGAACCATGTACTTAACATTTTTTTCTCCCCTTTTATGATAACTAATTCGCTCTTTTTTTGATAATAAATGGTTTTTTTTTTTTGTTACAATTCATTTAAATATACGCCCATGCTTCATCTATTGTGACAATTGTTTTCCATTTTTCTTTGGATAAGTGTTTCTCATATAGAATTCTGCAGCGTGTCCTGCGTTGAGCGATATGCTTTGGAAGAAGACGATGCACATTGCGTTTTTTCGCTTTCTTAAGATTTAAATCAACGTTTATGATTTTGTTTACAGTGGACGCCGAGCCATTGTAATGATTTTGCAAACTGTCCTTTGACTAGGGGATTTTCTTTTAACATGAAACAACGTACCTTTGCAATAGTCGAAGATGTCCGTTTTTTCTTGGATACTTGTTTGGAATTTTTCCCACTTGTGTCTCCAATTGACGTTTTTTTTCCTTCTTGTTTGATGATATTACCGATCGACGCTTTAGATATCACAAAACCATGACTCTCACATCGTTTTTGGATAACGGAGTATGCATATTTCTCTTCGGAAAGAGCGTAAATGTAGCCTTCGAACCACTGCTTTGTTAAATTCACCATTTTGAATAAAAACAAAACTTTCAAGCCACAGACGATAATTTTGACTTTTGAAAACATAGTACAATTGCAATTACTTCTTTTGCAGCAAACGAGTTTTTATTACAGCTTACCGAAATCGTCTAAAAAATGTTCGAACAGCCTCTGTATGTTTTACTTTTTGCATATTCTGAAATTAATATTCTCCTTAACCAGGAACAGGAAACTTCGACGCAAATTCGATCACTCTGTTTCTCAATTCTTTTAGGCGTTGTTGAAATTCAGGATCTTCAGCAAATTTAGTTTTGAAATCATTTACTTTAGGATCACATTTTGATTTTGCATCTAGAGCTATCTGTAGACCTAGTTTGAAAGAAAAAAGCATTATTAAATTTACAAATAATTAAGTAAGATTATTCCTTACATATGTTTAATAGGATAGCAATCTAAGCATACTATAAATGAGGTGCACCAAGAGTAGTTATTTTGGTGGATAACAGGTGTCAAAAAAATAATTATGGACAGTAAACACATCTCATTGCAGTAAGAATAGTTACAATTTTATTACTAATTCGATATAAAGTTGTTGTTTGCTTTATATCTGCATCCAATCTCGGAACAGCTTGAGTATCGGCTATCTGAAATTTTGCAAATCTGAAAAATTGCTTTCAAATAATGTATACGGTCAATTGCAAATATGGAAAAGTTGTCCATTTCTACTGTATATAGATAATAACTTTTTAAGTTTTACATCCGAGCTCGGATGCTAATTTTTCAGAACAAATTTTGATATTTCTTGGAAGTAATTTAAAACCTAATGGTGAGAAAATTTACAAACGTTATGCAGTACTATTGCGTAACTTCTTTTCTAGATAATCTCTTAATCTAAGTGTAAAGAAAATAACGTTGATTAACATGCCAATATTTTATTTCAACAGGAGCGCTTTCTGCAATTTAAACACGATTGCCGTCTTCAGCTCTTACTAAATAAAAAATCTGATGTGTACACCACATGACTTCCTTACACGGAATATTAAACAGCGTTACATTTCGTCCATATTATAACTCACAATGCATATAAATTGATATCATTTGAAGAATTATCTAATCGTTGCCATATGTTCTATTCAAATACTATAATAAATATAAAACGATGTTTAAAAGAAATTAAGCAAACAACAACACTAAAAAAAAAGAAACAGTTTTCAGAGAGGATTCAGTATTTCTCATTCAATTAATTCAGTTCTCCCTTCCCGACAAGGCAAAAATACATAAAAACTCAAAATATCTATATCAAAAATTATGAAATAAATCTGAAGCACTTATTTCCTGAAATAAATTCCACAATGGATTAAGCATGATTCGCAATAATGAAAGAAGGCGTTATCTTTGTTGTTGCGAAGCTTAGTTTCTATAGACTAGCAAAAAATCCACTATTTTGCCAAGTTTTAAATGTAAACAAACGTGTCCGCCATCGCAAAATTCATTAGGCTTAGCTGCCCTCAAACAACTTTAAAATTGTTGATAACTCCACAAATACTGTATGCAGATTTACTAAAGGCATGAAAACCTTAACCGGAAGATAAGAACAACATAATTTAATCATTTTTAAAGCAAAAAATGCACAATTTATAAACATTTAAAAATAAAGAAACTGAGCTCACTGAGCAGAGTAACAGAATGGATATATATTTTCATATATTTATACACTTTTGGTGCGACAGATTGCAATCAAAATACGAGGTGCACATCTACATGTTATAGCAGTCCTACATACAAAATTTCAACGTTCTGAGGATACTCGTTTTTGAGTTATGCGAGATACGTACGTACGCACGCACAGATGCCACGAAAAATTCTCTTCAGAATTCATTTTAAATCAGTTTTATAATTTTTTTTTGAGTGAAAAGAGTCCTTTGTTCTGTCCTTACTTGCGGATGTCACGCAAAAACATCATTAAATTGCATTGGATAGCGGTCAAAATCGATTTTTTCGTTGAAATATGATACCCGAAATTTTTCGCGATTGCTATACTTCCTTTATACTTCGTACAAGGAAGTAAAAATGCGTACTTCCAAAGGTAATGATTTTGCAAACTTTCAAGAACACGCCAGAAACTGTTCCTAATGCCTTCTAGAATGAAGAAATGGACACTGGAAAGAACAACGAAAGTAGCACAACGAGAGATGCCATCTATGAATGGGAAATGTGATCAAAGTGATTTATTTATAAATGGAAAAAAGGATTAAAATTTAAAGCATTGATAGATGCAGAGTAATTAATAGGAATATGAAAAGCCTGAAGAAAATCAAACTCACCTACTGGCGGAATTTCTTTGGGTATGGTATGTGGCCTGCTTTCATTAATGTATCATTTTTTCTCCATTAGCATACATTACTCCATCAGGTTCACCGTATCAGCCATTCACTCTTCAACAAAGTTCAGGTGCACTAAGCACCGTCCATATGGAAAAAAGTGCAAGAAGAATCCTCCCTGTGAAATCACTATAGGCTAATTAAATAAAGAATCGGTCTCTGTAGCGACAGTTTTTCTAGAAAAGTAGCAGCTTCTAAGCCTCTCCTGATCTTTTTCGAGGATCTGCTTAGTGCCGAAATTAAGAAAACTTAACATTCCCTTTATATCCGTATTTCCTTGTTTATATCAAAAACTTCACTGTGAGGTTTAACATCACGAGTCTCTAATGTAGGTTATCTCGTCCATTGATCATGTTGTAAGAGAATTATGCTTCTTCAGTCAGCACTCGGATTTTGTTGGAATTTCTTGTGGTAGTTGTGTGGGCAACGTTTGTAGCATACTGGATGGTCACCTCCTTTGCAATTTACGCATTATGCGTTTCCGGATTTCTACAGACCGCAATTAGAAGAAAAGTATTCCATCTGCATTTTGACACATCTTGGTTTATTACAATAACCACTTTTCATAGTGTTCACATCTAAAACTTTGCCTAGGACCAGGTCTTGGCTTGAAACTGTCTACCCTAATTTTTTATTTGAAAGTCTCAAGCTCAGAATGCAACAATACGGACAATGAATAAAACAATAATCTAACGTATTTAAGCTGCATTTCACAGTTGAAAGTTTAGCATTTCTGTTTAAACAATTTCTGTGGATGTCAGAACAGTAAATACCATCTTTTCCCTGAAAAGATTACGTAACTAGGGAAACGTTTGACCAACTCGCTCAAACTGCAAATTGATGAGAGATGATATAAATGTACTGCGGTTCATTTAAAGTATCTTCATGCCTTATAAACTGTGGATATGTTTAATTCCCAAATTTTCTCTCCACTGTGGCAAATATGTAATACTGAAACGTGGATACTAAATCAGCTAATATGAGATTTGAAAATTGTAGCATATAGGAAAATATAGCGTTTTAGTCTTCGAGAAACAAACTGCACTTCTCTGAGAAAAGTGCCGATACTAAAGTGAAAAAGACATGACATTTAAATGTGTTTGAGGAGATAAATTATTTCAGCGATTGTATATCGTGTGAATAAATGATTATCCGTGGAACATTTTCGGTATATTTCAGTATTAATGCGATATACATACCTTCGTGAATGAAATTTGCTACTTTCTCCATGTCACATTCTCTCAGACCTCTAGATGTAAGAGCTGGAGTACCCAGTCGAATTCCTCCGGGATTCAAAGCACTTTTATCTCCTGGAACAGTGTTCTTATTACAAGCTATGTATATGTTTTCAAGAATCTTTTCTGCTTGAGAGCCGCTTAGATTGTTAGGCCGTAAGTCAACCCATACAATGTGATTATCTATACCACCCATAAAGTATAAATGAAATTTAAAAAATAATTCGTAACTTAGCCCTTGTTCCATTATACTGATGACCAACAATTTAAAATATTTGTCAGCAATTGCGTTTGGATAACTTGTCTATGACAAAGCACACTAGAGCTGTTTCTTTAAGGAAGCAATGTCTTTGTGGAAGACATTTTGAGCGAAAATGGCTCAGACTCGCATTACACACGAAGTCCAAAACCCTCAGGCAACCATTTCATTCGAACGGATTTCAGCCTGGAATGAACTTAACTAGAGTTTAGTGATTTACCTGTCAGCAACTGTTGGGATACTTTAGTGAATAAAGGGAAAATGTCTAGAATTTTTGCAATTCTAAAATATAGTGATTGTTTTAAAGAACCTACACCTTATAGCAATGTTATTACGAATTTTATATATATGTAAATAACAGTAGTGAAATTACACGTAAAATTGTAGAAAAATTGAATTTCCACCGTAAAAATATAGTTACAAAGGCATGTCCACTTAGCATTGAACTAAATACTTATATTGCCAAATTTACGAGATATTGTGATTGTGATGGTTTTGGTAAGAATGCGTCGCCTTGGCGAACATTTGGCGATATTTTGGTTTGGTCCCTGCATAACTAATTGATACTGTAATTGAATAATTTTAATTGATCTCTTTATGTAACTATGGTAGATGATTTGGGCCTCTTCGATGGGGGTTCAGCCTCCAGAGTCTCGGTAGTGGGGACTGACATAGCAAGGTAGGGCACCGATTGACGTATGATGCTAAGGGAGTGGTGCCCCTAAGCAAAGGTGTCTCAGCGATTTTTAACTTGTTACAGCGATAATCTTTGTCCTGCTGAGGCTGTGTATAAACCCGGGCTGGGACTGTGGGGCCTGCGCTGTCACTGAGGGGTGACCCGGATATATAAATCCTCGTATGGCTTACCGGGTCGAGGGTCTTGGTCATGGAGTTATGTAAGTATACCCGGCTTTATATTAAGTTAACTGTATATGGCTTCCCTCAAATTGGAGAAATCAAAAGGACTGGAAATTCCTCGGCGGTCAGTGGTAAACTATTTAAGACCTGAGACAGTTTTTAGTTCAGAGTTGACTTCGGAGTATTCAGAGATCTCCGAGCGAGCTTCGTAGCTTAAACAGCTTGCACGTTGCATTTAGCTGTGTTTCTTGTTCTCGTTAGTTTGAAGTCGTAACTCCTAATTAGGCTCTGTCATACTGAGAACAGCTGTGCAAGTGCTTTTGTGAAAAATTCCAGAACAGTAAAGTGTTTCTTTTGGAAAAATAAATTTTATCAATCTATCATCGATTCTGTGCGCATCTAATTCATGACGATCACACATGCACAAAACAATATGCAAAATGTTTAAATCCTAAAAATTCTAGTTTTCACCAAGCATAATTCCTTGAAATATATGACTGCACGAAATACGTAAACAAAAGACGTAAATAAAACTCCTTTAAAAAACAATATCTGATGTGGACACTTCATATGACTTCTTCGAATCGCCTATTAAATTACGCACAATTTTTCGCAGCACTTCATGTAAACATATTTTCTCTCGAATTTCGTTAGAGATATATTTCTCATTCAATCAGTTCAATTCCCACTTCGCGGCAAGGCAAAAATAGATTAAAATTCAAAACGTCCACATTGAAAATTATAAAACACAGAAAAACATAAAACACCAAATACAATTAAAAACAACTAAAAATTAGTTTTACAATTAAAATTAGAGTTTCTGCGCGAAAACAAGCAATTTGGACAGTGGGCAGGGAGACAACATTTTCGGCGCGCAAAACTAAAAGTTAATATTTGGTCCCATTAGGCAAAATGGCATTGAAAGTGGTGCACCAGCTGCCTTAATTCATTATAATACTAAGTTGCAGATGCGAAGAAATATCTGCCTCGTTAGGGCTAACGCGACATACACTTGGTCACTTACATGCATACACTTACACAAATGGTTCATAATTCTATAATAATACGACATACACTATACACTTACATATACGACACTATACGACATACACTTACATAAATGGTTCATAATTCTACAACTATTGTATGCAGATTAACTAAAGTTTGTTTTAACTAAAGGCATTAAAACCCGTCATTGGAACATAATAACAATATAATTTAATCACTTTTAAAAGCAAAAGATGCACAATTTACCAACATATAAGAATAAAAAGACTGAGCTCACAGAGCCGTGTAACAGAGTGGAATATATATATATATATACGGTTAGTGCGGCCGATTGTAGAAAAAAAGGAGGTGCACAACTAGATGTTATAGCAATTCTATATGCAACATTTCAACGTTCTAGTTTTGAGTTATGCGAGATACATATATCCGTACGTACGTATGTCACGAAAAAATCTCTTCTGAATCTATACAATATGTTTTGAAAAAAAGTTTTTATTCTATCCGTGCATACAGATGTCACGCAAAAAGGTCTTTTAAATGAATGCGGAAGCGGTCAAAATAGAAACTTTAGTTGAAATATGATATCCAAAATTTTTTGCGATTTCAATACTTCCTTTACTTCGTACAAGGAAGGAAAACAGGACAACTGGTAAAACATAAGGTACCAAAATCAGGAGAGTACTGGTACAGACATTGCAGGTCTCTTGATTTGAGATGCAATAAACTGTCTATTACAAATAGAAGTAATCACCTGTCACGTATTGCGTCTCAGTCACACCTGACGAAATTTATGCAATATTTTAATTCAGTTCCAAGGTCATGGTTTTTGCTGCTCTGGTCGATTTTCAAACAAATCATAGTTTCATTTTGCTGTCAGTAACTTGGGCGGTAAATATCAAAAACAAGCAATTCTAACAAAAAATTTTGGAAGATATCTTTTAATACTTTACCTTCATTGTTATCCCGTCCACTGCAGATCATAAAAACGGTGTACTTTTTAAGAAGTGCGATAATTTTCTTTTATTAAGTTTTTAGTTCACAGGTATTTTAATAGCAAGAAAGGAGAAATTGAATGTACTTAAAAGATAGCAAATCACTAGATTCACGATATCACCTCACCTTCTTCAAAACTATAATTTTCAAGTTCTTGGCGTCCTGTCTAATTCGCATTTGCAACCCTGTTCTTTTTTGCCTTTAATCTTAGTCTCATCACGTCTGTTCTTAAACTGTTAGTTATTAATTACTTTTGACCTTTATATGCTCCGTCCTTTCAAAGGAATGTTCACAGTTCCTTTGAACCCGGTTCAAACGACATCAAGTAAGCTGTTATTGGTAATTCCCGCGTATCCAGTTGTACAGTCATTAGGGTGTTTTTGAAGCAAAAATATGCAGTACCCTCGTCGGGACTGGAACCTGGACTTCTCGAATACGCACCGAGTATGCTACCGTTACACCAGGAATGCATGCAGAAAGAAGGGAGAAAGTACCTCCCTTTTAAAGGACGACTGGGGATTAGGAGATCCAATCGCAAATTACTGGTGGTGAATAATCATCATCCACCACCTTTTAGTTCGGGCGCCACTGTAGAGTCATTAGGGTTTTCGAAGCAGCAGATGTGAAAAATGTGCAGTGCCCTCTCTCGGACTCCAACCAGGACCTGTCGAATACGCGCCGAGTGTGCTACCATTACACCACGAAGGCCTGCAGAAAGGAGGCAGAAAATATCTTGTACAGTTCTCCATATCGCAAAGATTTTAAACCCATACTTCCACGCAAGAGAAGACCATTCACAGTGTCCCGTATTTTAGATATTGGGAAACGGTATTCAGATCAGATTAAAAAATCCTTTGAAGGACATCGTAAAAAAGAGAGCCAAAATTCAATTCGCAACTGGCTGAATTAGCGACACATTATGAAAACTGTATTAATGAGGCTCAGGAAAGAAGTTTCACACTATAAAATGGAAAAATAATGAAAGTAAACAACTGCTATAGAAAATATAAAAAAGCATTTTTTTAACGAGTTAAAAGCCTTTTGGAATCCAGCTGCACATAGCTACGAAATCCACTTCCCAGATGCTTACTGATCGCTGATTAATTAACCAGTCGTCCCTCGTGACTTCTTATTTACTCGCAATGTGTTATTCTTTCTTGTTTATCTTTTTACCATTTTTCATATTGTTCCTATCAGTTTTGAAATTTATTCTTCAGGCGAAAGTTCTTTCTTTTTATATTGTCTTAAGAAGGAAGTATAATGGTAATTGTCATGACTATCATTTTTAAAAATTTAATAACTATAAAAGCTGGATATCGTTTATGTCCCAACATGTTCTCTCACATTTGTAGCTAGGAAACGTATGCTGTGAAAATACAATTTCAATTTTTTTCTTAAAACATTGACAACTATGTAATGAATAATTTTAAATGTAACACATTTATAATTTTTTTCTTGAAGAGACTGGACTAATGCTTTTGCATTCAACAGTATTTGTTCCTGATACTTCTTAAATTCAGGATTCTGTGCTTGCTTTAATGCTGCTGCAATTCCTAATGATCAAAAAGTTATATATGAATACTAAATTTCGCTGACATATATGATAATTTTACAGTAAATCTAACACCCCAAGAAAAATTCGAGTCAGTCAAAATACTTACCCGCAATTGCATTATTATGAGGTGCACCCTGAAGTCCTGGAAATACAGTCTGATTAATTTTTTCTTCGAAATCATAGATTACTTTGTTTCCTTTTTTCTCATAATGAACTCCTATACACACAATGATAGATTCTTAAAATATTATGATGTATTTATGCACTAAATGTTTTCATTTTAGTATCAGTCTCATTATATAAAATAATACAGCAAATTTCGCTTAAAAATATTCTTTTTTACTTTTAATAACTTTTAGAATATATTTTCCCCTCATAATTTAGCACAGCTCCTCTACGACAGCAGTCCTCAACCAGAGGAGAATTTCACAGTTAAATATTAAGAATTTAGTTTATGAAAGTAGTAGTATGAATTTAGTTTAGTTATATAAAAAAAGTGCTTTTTTCAAGTTTTGGTATTTCTCAGTAATTTCTATAGTTTTTCTTCTTTGGTTTATAAAACGCATTAAAAGAAATCTAAATTTAAATGTACGTATACGTGCTTTTGGAGTTTTTGAAAGGAAGGGGATATTCAGTAGCGGAACTAGAGGGGGCTGGGCAGGCGTCCGGTCCGTGGGGCACAGTTTTAAGGGCGGAATTTTTTGAGTGAAACTTTATTTTATAATTGTTATTTGAGGCAACTGAAGAATAATAAGACTTTAAATTTCCTTACGGAATTAAATTGACAAGAAAAAGGTTTTATTTTAGGTAAAGTATTCAAAGAAATCATCTCGTGTTTTCAACAGCTCCATACTTCAGTTAAACCATTTTTATTCCATCACAACTTTTGAATGCAAATTAGGAATATCAACTAAATTATGATCACGGTGACATTCATAATGAAGATCCTCGTTAAGGAGAAGTATTTCAGATATATCCGTTTTACTTGAGAAATAGAAGCAGGAACGTGAAAAAGCAGTCTTTTTGAATTTTTTCAGCTTTTTTTTTTTTTTTTTCCTAAACTGTAATCTTCAGAACAATGTTTCAAATATTGTAATACTATTGTCACTTTAATTCTCACCTGTTGTTGACCTGTTGTCTCACAGAGAGACATTTTCTAAATCAAAATTATTTAAGAATTGTAAATGTATATTTTGCATTTAAAAAATCTTTCTCTACTGTCTGCCTAACAGAAATAAGAGCAATCAAATTGATCTCTACAGTGTCAATGACGGTTTTTCGAACAACAAAATACTGGCAAAATAATAATATAATTAAAAAATACTGGAATTAAAAAATTTTTCTTCAGAAATAAACATTTGAGTTTAAATTTTTCTCGTGTATGTCATTTTCACATTTTTTATGGTTATGTGCAATAGTGAAAGGGATGCATGAGGGCAAGAAAGGTTGAGAACCGCTGCTCAACGGCTTAAAGGCACAAAAACAATAGTAAAATTATTAAACATTAAAAGTTTTAAGAGAAGAAAAATGGAACCAAAGAGGATGACAGAATTATGAATGCAATCAGCTTCCGATTAATCAGGGACGGATTAATCAAATTTCGAATAAACCCATCCTTGTAAAAAGGTTTTGTTGGTTTATTGCGGAACGTTGAAAACACTGCTGTCACAAACCCCCAGAAAAAAGCAAAGTTTTGGTAGAAAGGCTGAGGATAACAACAGAGATAGTAGATGATGCGACAGCCTTAAGGAACTGATTTCATTCGCAGCAGTTCTTAATTTAACTCTATATGAATCTGGAATGTGTAAACAATGTTAAATGATCCGTTAAAAATAAATTTCTGAATCGTAAAAATAAATTTAATATACAACCTTAAATCTTATGCGTGCACTGACTCCTATGGTACACAAAAGCAATGTAAAAAAAATATTCTTTCAGTTTAAAATATCTTCTTTTTGTTTTAAATGCACATTTAATTTACATAACCAAAAGAATTTATTCTCCAAATTATTCTCCACTTTAAAATCTGAATATTTCCATAACTACTTTCAAGAATTACCTTTCCTGTAAAAAATTAAACCAGCTCTAGGTTCCCGCAGAGTCTTGTGCGCTGTTGTTGTAACAATATCACAATATTCAAATGGACTTGGAATGACTTTCGCAGCCACAAGACCACTGATGTGAGCCATGTCTGCCATTAGATAAGCTCCATTATCATCAGCGATTTCCCTGAAGCGTTTATAATCTAGATTTCTAGGGTAACAACTAACACCTGCAAAAAAAAAAAAATTGCTCGAATGAATGCACATCATTAATGAATAAAGGCGAAGTATTTACATGGCTTTTATAAGAACTTATTCACTAAATTCTTAGCTTTGTAAATTGACAATGTTAATTGAGCTAAGACTTTCATATGTATAACCGTTACCTCAGTTAGTTCTCTAACATCATACAAATTAAGGTGGATTATTACAATATTACAAACAGGTAAAGATTAAATAATAGAGGATTATAGCTATTCTAGAACTAGAGACTATGCTTCCTCACATGAAATTGTCCGTTCGATGTAATCGAAACATTAAACTAACAAAGATTTTTAAAGGGGTTTATCAGAAACCTACTCTATTCAAATGACTAAATTCAGAATTTGAAGTAAGATTTGAAGATGATAAACGACAGCGTAAAAAGCGTATTCAAATTATACTTTTTTAAAGTTAAAGTTGCAGTAAATTCTTAGCACACTTACATGAATTTTACCATTGTGGCTGCAGATAAAAACAGAGGAGCTGCTCAAAGTACACAGAAATCGTTCCTTGCATATCCTTCGACTAGCTGCTTGTTTTAATCCAGGGTTTCTCAAACTGGGGGGGGGGGGCGGGGGAATTCTCCGCTAAAGGGGATTTCACAGTTTCAAGGGAGAAATGTAGTCTGTCTTTTATTCACCTGTAAAGCACTTAATGAATATTTATTAATATAAAAAAACTACTTTAATTCAAATTTTGGTATTTATCAGCATATTTTTTTAATTTAAAATACGTTAAAAAATCTAAATTTAAATAAACGTATTCGTATTTTTTCGAGTTTTGGAAAGGAGGGGGGTTTAATGATCGTATGGTGACTTCCGTGTTCGTATAGTGATGCATACAGCAGTAAATTCGCACAGAGTACTACGGTTTACAGGTTACGCACAGGTTTATCGTCAGCAGGATTTTAACCTAACAATAGCTTCCTGTACCACCTCACCATTCCCGCATATAAATTCCATTACAAAATCTGCTTCTTTCGATCCTATACTTGCCACATTTTCCCCAGATATTTTTTAATCTCTCTATACATAATACTTATGAAGATTACTGGATTAGGGTCCAAAAATTGCTTCCCAGATGACAATATATAAAGAGAATTCATATATGATAATACGGCCCATCAGCTGCTGAGTGGTAAAGTCGTTGATCCCTGATAGTTAGGCTTGTGTTCAAATCCCAAAGAACGGACTGAATCCAAAGGAGTTTGGGACTTTTTCTCTGTGTAACGTAGATAAAATGTCGTTACACAGATAATTCCTTAAATTCCTTAAAAATGTCGTGCATGAAGGAATCTTTACCGTTAGCATTATCTTTGTGTTCGTAATTATAATCCAAACAAATATATATTTGATTAGAGAATTCCCAAAACTTTCTACAACAAAAATGATAATAAAAATAGGAAATAAATAAAACATCAGATGTATGAAATGTGCACAGACACTAACAGGATGACAAGCATGAAAATAAAAGACATTTTCACCAGCAAATTCCTCATTATTTGACATCATATTTAAAGCATATAGATATTAAAGTGATTTCCAAATATATCAAGAAACCAATGAGCACTGACTTCCTAGTTACAATCTATCGCGCAAAGCCACTAAAGCACAAAAGCACTACCAAATACAACAGAGGCAACTATGTCATTGCTCACTGCTTTTTTGACATTCTGCCAAACTAAAAATTCAAATAAACTCGCATTTAGCGGGGATTTGGTGGATGAAGGTTCACCGTCGGAGATTGTGCCTGCCTCTCAGATCTGGTTAGCAAGTACGCCCGTCTCGTGGGGTTTCACTGTGAGACCACGTGCTCTTACGAATCTGATTGCATCAGCATTTTTCAATGCTATTTTGCGGTTAGTATTTTTTGTGAACGCATATATGCTTTCACTATTTTATTTGATTATTTTATTTTAGGATTATTTCGCAAAATTTTGATTTTCACTACCACGTGTCTTGCCAAAATTGCCTGATTGCTGGTTTTACGACTTTTACATGCCATTTTGCTTATCATTAAGACTATTTGCGCGTTTTGAATATTTAATCGGATAAAATTTAAATTTTGCGCGTTTGATTTTGGATTTTTGGATCGGATAACACACGTAGTTACCCCCAAGCTTTCGCTTCAGGTGATTGTCAGGAGGCCTCCTCGTGTGTTCTTCGCCTGCACATCCGTGTGGAGAAGGCTATCGGGCCAGGCTCCATCCGGGGTGCAGGACTCCATTTTATGGGCGCTGGATTTTGGATTTTTTGCGTTTATTTCTGCGTAGCGGACCATGGAGAGGCTCGTGGAAATTTACGCAAATCAGATTAAGGAATTGGATAAAATCAGAGACAAAAATGATGGAAAATTATCAGACATTGAAAACACTTTTACAATTTTCTGCTTAGCTCACTTGAGATTGTAAATGCTTTGAAAGAACAAATAATAGTGTCATTGATAAACACCTACACCTACCGCTAAAAACTTAGATGAAAAGCAGGGCCAATACAGAAATAGTCGGGCCCTATTCAGTTCATGACCTGGAACGCACATAGCGTCCAGAATAAAATTACGGAACTTCATAACTTTTTACTTGTGTATGATATTGACGTTGCACTCATCACAGAAACAGAAACGTTTGCGACTCCCTGCTGCTACAATTTGAACATCGCAAACTATAGATGTTATAGATGTGACAGACTAAGCCATAGAGGTGGTGGGGCCGCGATTTTTGTGAAAAAACACCCTGCAATCTTGCCTCATCAGCGAAGATCGTGATAACGGATATGAAGCAGTTACTGCCTCAGTTTTACTCCCATTTTATGGAGTTGTCTATTTTATCGCAATGTATAATCCACCGAACAATGTATTGGATATCGACAAATTAGCTGAACTTCTCCCAAATAATAAACAAATCATCCTGGCTGGAGATCTGAACTCAAAACATACTGAATGGGGCTGCCGAAGAACCAACAATAATGGCGAAGTCCTAATCGAGTTTATCAATAACTATCCTATTTATTTCTACGCACCTTCAGTTTATACGTACCTCCCAGATAACCCTAGAAGAGGAGATATTTTAGACATTGTGCTCACAAATACTGACATTCCAATGTATTTGGATGTTAAAGTTGAATTAACCTCCGACCACGTGCCGGTTATCGCTATTTTGGGCACTAACAAATGCGAAGAAAAGAAAACAAGTTTAAAAACATCACTGACTGGCAGCATTATTACACACAACTGTTAGAAAAAACCCTCCAATTATTAGCTCACTCAAGAATAAAGAGGACATTGATAATGCGATCGAAATTCTCAACAATAGTATCCTCAGTGCATACAACACTGCTACCAAAAAAATTCCTATTGATAAAGACAATTTCCGTTTACCCAGAGAAATTAGAGATATGATTAAACAGAGAAACCGTTTGAGAAAGAGGTGGCATATCTCTTGGGACCCAGGGGTCAAGAAAGAACTTAACAGACTTAATAATATAATCAGTTGCAAGATTCGGAAACATCGGGATGAGGTTTCTGGAATAATAAAATTGAGAGTTTTAATGAATCTGGAAATGATTTCTGGTCTTTCGCAAAAAACCTTAGGCGCAAGCCCCCTTGCAATAAACCAATTTATAGTAATAACAGAATTGCACTTACTTACAAGGAAAAAGCCGCCATTATGGCAGAGCACTTAGAACAACAATTTGTACCGAATCAAGACCCTTGTGACCCTCTTTTCTCATCTTACACTCGACAATTTATCAAAGACTGGTTATGGACCAGGGGCCAAAAATCGCACTGAATATACATCCCCGACCGAGGTTAGAAACATTATCAGAAATTTGAAAAACCGGAAAGCACCTGGTTATGATGAAATTACGAATGTTGCAATTAAAAATATGCCACTTAATACTGTCACAAGATATGTTAGCATTCTCAATGCCTGCCTGGAAAATAACTACTTTCCCGAAAAATGGAAAAAGGCCAAAGTCATTCTTCTACCAAAGCCGGGAAAAGATGCCACCAAACCGGAAGGATACCGTCCGATAAGTCTACTCCCAGATTTTCGAACGGGTCATTTATAAAAGAATTGAGCCGCATATGGATAAGCTCCCAATGGAACAATTTGGTTTCCGTAAAAATCTCTCAACGACAAAACAACTTGTTCGTCTGTGTGAATTCATTGGATCCGCTTTATTTAGGCATCAAAGTGTCGCCTTACTCATGCTAGACGTGGCGAAAGCTTTCGACCGCGTCTGGCATGAGGGGCTCATTTTCAAGCTCATCACACTTGATTTCAGTAGAGACCTCATCTTACTTATCAACTCTTTCATACGGAACCGCAAATTCTTTGTAAACTTTGGATATGAACACTCTGAGACCAAATATCTGAAAGCCGGGGTAGCTCAAGGATCTATTCTTGGCCCTATTTTGTATCTCTTTTATGTTTATGATCTACCCAATAGTGCCGATCTCAATACGTACCTCGGATGTTATGCAGATGATACCGCCCTTGCCGTGAAGTCACATAGTCAAGAGCATGCACTGATAAAACTTCAAGAAAAAATTCCAGCCATAGAAGAATGGTGCGCTAAATGGAGAATTGCGATTAACGGACAAAAATCCCAATTGATAATCATCGGTAAAAAACATCCCAGAATCCCTTTGGACAGAAAAATTAATATCTTTAATGAAGAAGTGCCACTTGTTAAAAAGGCTACTTATCTTGGAGTAGTTTTGAATCACAGATTTACCTGGAAAGACCACATTCACAGTATTAAATGGAAGACCTCCTATACTATCAAAAATCTCCTCCCTCTAATAGGTAAAAACTCTAGACTTGATCTCAAAAGGAAAAGACACATCTATACAGCAATTATCAGACCAATTTTCTGTTACGCATCACCTGCCTGGGCGACCTACACTCAAAGTGACATGAAAAAACTCCAAATTACGCAAAACAAACTTCTCAGAATTATTACTA